CCAGCTTCCAGCGTAGGTGTGGCGGGAGGCAGATGCATAATCAATGCATGTTGTCTGACTAGGATGGTTTATAAACAGGAGCCGTCTGGAATACACAGATCTCAGACTCCCGCCAGCTTCCCTTTGCCTCTGGCCCCTGCCCTGGCCCCTCTTCATCTCACCCACATCCTGCTGTGTGGATACTCACCCCTTCCAACTCTGAAGGTTGCAGGGAGGGGGCCCGTGGCTCTCTGTGGGAGAGGTGTCCCAGCTTTTGCTCTCAGCCTCTCCTGGCTGAACCTCAGTGGGAGCTGAGCAGGTTTGCCGTGGCCTTGGATGCCTTCCTTCTGCCCCAGATCTTGCCTCAGGGCTCTACTGCAGCTCCCTGCCCTCTGCTGCTGGACTGGGAGGCCTCCAGCAGCCTACCTGACATGTTCTCCAGGAGAGGACACAGCTGTCTCCTGAGACTCTGGTGCCCTCCACCTCCAGCGATACTCAGATGCTTCCCTGGGGAGTCACGACCTGTCAGGGCTGCACAGCTGCTGGGATGAGGGCTCCCTTGGTGTTCCAATTTAGGAGTAAATAAGGCTTCACTCCCTGAGGGGTCGGTTTCATGTAAAAGAGAAGTCTCAAGAGCCTTGGACTGATGGCATTTAGGAGAAACCTTGGCTGCTGGTCTCCCCTGCCTTCTCTGGGCTGTGTAGTGACATTCCTATTCCCACCTCCCTTCCACCCCTCCCTAAAATTGCAGGCTCCAAGGGCTCCATCCTGAGCTCCAGGACAGTGTCTGGCATGCCCTCGGCCCAGCCCTGGTCCCAGTATGCCCACCCAGGCCACATAGGTGCATCCTGTTACCCACCCACCCACCTATGCTCACATATGCATGCCAGCAATCATATGTTGTCCAGGTTGGTCTTGAACTTCTGGCCTCTAGTGATTCCCCCGCCTTTGCCTCCTGACTCACTAGGATTATAGGCGTGAGTCACCGTGCCCAGCAACACTTTTTAAATGGATGCGGTTTATGAGGAATGTTGGCTGGATTAGTCTTGTTTCCATTTCCCTGTAATAAAGGAGAGCTGCCAAGCTGGGGGCTCAGAAGAAGGTGGGAAAAAGCAGAGAAGAACTCCAGGACAGCAATGAGCAGGCTGGAAAAGGGGTCTTGGAACACAGATCCTCTTTTTAAGAAGTGTGGAAATAATTTCAAGTTTATGAAAAGTTGTAAAAGTAAAAAATAATACAGACACTATCCTTACAGCGTTTACCAAGACATACCTGTTGCTAACATTTTACTCTGTCTTTGTTTTTGTCCCCTGCTCTATATGAACACACATAGGTATGTACGCATGTATGTATGTGTGTGTGTGTATGTATGTCTTATGTATGTGTGTATTTATGTGTATGTATGTATGTGTGTGTTTATGTGTATGTGTGTATGTGTGTCTTACGTATGTGTGTGTATGTATATGTGTGTTTATGTGTATGCATGTGTGTATGTATGTCTTATGTGTGTATGTATATGCGTGTTTATGTGTATGCATGTATGTGTGTATGTGTGTGTTTGTGTATGTGTGTATGTATGTCTTATGTATGTATGTATGTGTGTATGTATGTGCATATGTATGTTTTATGTATGTGTGTATTTATGTGTATGTATGTATGTGTGTTTATGTGTATGTGTGTCTTATGTATGTGTGTGTATGTATATGTGTGTTTATGTGTATGTATGTGTGTATGTATGTCTTATGTGTGTATGTATATGCGTGTTTGTGTATGCATGTATGTGTGTATGTGTGTGTTTATGTGTATGTGTGTATGTATGTCTTTATGTATGTATGTGTGTGTATGTATGTGCATATGTATATTTTATGTGTGTGTGTATTTATGTGTATGTATGTGTGTTTATGTGTGTATGTGTGTATGTGTGTGTGTATGTATATGTGTGTTTATGTGTATGTGTATAGACACAATTGTTTTTCCTGAACCACTTGAAGGTAAGTTACAGTTACACCCATCATGACCTTTTTCCTAAATTCTTTAGTATTTCCCAGGAATAGGAATATTTTCTTACATTACCACAGTGTAATCATCAGCTTCACAGGTTAGAACTGTCGTCTAACCCACCACCCACATTGCAGTGTTAGTTGTTGACCGCATCACGTCCTTGGCACTAAATGTGCCTGCAGTACAGGATTTTGCATAGGCTCGAATGTTCCATTCAATCACCATGGCTCTTTAGCTTCCTGTAATCTGGAACATTTCCTACGCCTTTCTTTGTCTTTAATGACATTGAGAAGTCAAGGGACTTTTGTGAGGGGCCGGGGCAGAGGTGGTTTTGCCTATTGATTAAGAATACAGATGCTGGCGTCCAGCTGGCTGGGCTCAGTCCCACTCTGCCATTTATCAGCCTGGTAAGTGTGGGCGAGTTGCTTAATCCCTTTGTGCCTCAGTTTGATCATTCATCAATCCAGTGAACAGTTAGCCTGTCTCATGGGGCCATTAGGAGGCTTGGCACACAGTAAAAACAGGGCAAGCATTCACTTACTGTTGTGGTAGCAAATCACCTTTTCTTGAAGGGGCTCTCAGTGCATCAAGCCCCGCAGGGGCGCCTTAGCATTGGCTCAGGGGTCAGGACCAAGCAGCCAGCAGTCCTCCCTGGTTGTACATGCAGTTACCCTAAGGACAAGCAGCCATATCCTAAGATGGTAGCAGAGGCGATGTCAGCCAAAGACTCAACAGGGATGTGGCTATCTCAACAGACAGCAATGTGGGGGCCCAGGGCCCTCCAGGAAGTGAAACCCTTCCCATTAACCAGCATGGCTGGGCATAAGTCCCATATTGTTGAGTCAACTCCAGGAGAGGTACCTGGAGAAGGGACCCGAGAAACTACCGAAGTGACGAAGCATACCTGAACGTTGCTGGATGGCTTCACGACCCTCAGGTGCAGAGACTTTGAGATGGAGCCTAAACTGAGCTATAGGAAAGGCAGGTTTTGTACAGCTGCCATGATGCCTCCCAGTGGAAGGGCTGAGCAACTCCTAGAGACTTCTCCTAACAAGGTATTTACTCCTTCTCTTTTCTGACCTAGACAGAAACCAGGCAATGTGGAAAACAGACTTAAAGGGCTCCCATGAGAAAAGCAGAGAGCATGGAATAATGGGTGGAAGGGACTCCAGACAGCCTTCTGATTTCTGAAGCTCAGTTCTCCCCCAACACACTCCATGAAGGCTGCTTTATATAGGCTGCTAACCATCAATCCGTCTATCCATGAATCTAGCCATCCAACTGTCTGTCTGTCCATTCACTCATTCATGCATCCACCCACCTCTCCATCCATCCTCCATTCCTCCATCTGATGGGGAGACACATCTACAGCATCTATATCCTTGCCTCACCATCCTAGTTCAGTCATGCGGGGCTTGACCACAGGGATATGTTCTGAAAAATGTGTCGTTAGGCGATTTCACCACTGTGCGATGTCATAGAGTGCACTTACACAAACCTAGACGGTACGGCCTACTACCACCTTGGCGGCAGGGTGCAGCCTGTTTCTCCCAGCCAGCATCATCATAAGCATGTGAGTGATGCTTTGCGTTATGACGGTGATGACCTCACTAGGCCAAAGGAGTTGCTCAGCTCCTCATTATCTTATGGGACTAAGTGGCATATGCGGTCTGTCATTGAGAAAAATATTCCTCAGCGCACAACTGTGGTTGCTCGTCTGGCTTTGTCAAGGAAGGAGCTATTCCATAGATATGTTTTCTTGTTGTTGTTTCAGATAAGTTTTATCCTTTTAAGAGTGCCACCTTCATTTAGGTTAGCCATTTTGGAGAGAAAGTGCTGAAACCAACTGTAAACTTGTCTTTCTTTTTTTTTTTTTTTTAGATGGAGTCTCGCTGTGTCACCCAGGCTGGAGTGCAATGGCATGATATTGGCTCACTGAAAACCTCTGCTTTCTGGGTTTGAGCGATTCCTGCCTCAGCTTCTAGAGTAGCTGGGATTACAGGCACATACCACCATGCCTGGGTAATTTTTGTATTTTAGTAGAGATGGGGTTTCACCATGCTGGCCAGGCTGGTCTTGAACTCCAGACCTAGTGATCCACCTGCCCCCACCTCCCAAAGTGCTGGGATTACAGGTGGGAGCCACTGCACCCAGGCCTTGTCCTTCTTTTTAAAAGAGGGCCTGCCACCTCAGTTAAGTCTTTCTGGATGATCCAGGTCCCCGCTCCAAATGAAAGTCACATGCTTCATTGTGAAGCCAGTGGTATGGGCCCTCAGGGAGTATTTGGAACTCTACACTAAATGGCCCCAGTGGCTCTGCTTTTTGACACTTTCTTTTGTACTCCCCACCCTCCATTCTGAGATCCCAGTTATCTTCCCAATTCTTATAGCTCTTGGCATACTTCTAGCAATGTCTTCTCTAAATGGCCTTGAGCTGGGAAATTTGATAACCGAAAGTGTTAGAATTGTGCATAAAGCAAGAGTCTTTCTTTATGAAAGACTCTCATTAGTACAGCACAGAGCCTCCTTCCTTTGTATCCCATTGTTGCCTCATTCTGGATTCTCTACTACCCTCCACGCCGCAGTCTGTGAATGCAGAAGCCCTAGGAATGGGGAGGGCGACATAGTGGACCGGAATTGCTCTTCCTAGATCCTTGCTGCTTTCGCTCTAGAGAAAATGATGAGATACCACAGCCTGTTCTGACTGAATCCTCCCTCAAAGGGGATGGGGGAGATGGGAACAGGGTGGGGCCATCTGGGTCAGTGGTGCCTGAAACTTTGAGGGAGAGGAGAGTGGCTAGGCCCCACTGGTAGTGTGCAGGAGGCTGAGGAAGGGACCCCTGCCTCCTCATTCTGGATGACAATGGCCAGCGTGGACCGGGGAGAGCCCAAGGGCCTGGTCTCCCTTCAGGGCCCAAAGCAGGACTGGCACCAGTGGTGAGATGGGCACCTGGGGCGGAGGCCAGGAGTCTCAGCTTATAAACACTCCACATGCACACAGGGACTTCTTAAAATGCAGCTATGGAGACACCCAAAATGCAGATGGACACTTGCACTCACAAGGGACGCGCTTCCATAGGTGCAGCAACCATCAGGAAACTGACCACACACACTCCGGTGGGAGGTCTTCTTCACTTCCCTCCCTCCACCAAGATCTCTCCCCATCACCACGGACACAGTGACAAACACAACCTCTCTGAATTTGGACACTGGGGCCCCATTTCAGAAGGTGACAACCCTCACACCAACAACTGCACATACTTGTTTACAGGGGCGGATGCCCGTAACATGTCTGCACCGTGGGACAGCAAGCTGCTGACTGCCCCCACACACTTGCACACGTGCTCCCACACGCTTACACACACAGTCACACTTGCCCACACAGTTTCGTTCAGACACACACCGGTCCAGACAGGGCCCTGGCTTGGCCCGACCTACTTCCCCCATCCTTTCTGCAGCTGCAGAGGGTGCTCTGCTCTCCTCTGCTGGGTTTCCACCCGCTCTGTCCTCAGGTCTTGGATTCTGGGGCGCTGGTGGGCTGATGCCAACATCCTCCTCCCTCTCCCCTGGATTTTTGTCAACTGCAGCCTGACGCTGGGGAAGATTTGTTGCTTTGGCTTTGACATGGACTACACTCTGGCTGGTACGAGGGCTGTAACACAGTGTATTGGGAACTGGAGGAAGCAGGGGTTGGGCAGCCAGGCACCAACTGCCTGGCTGCTCAGGCCCCTGAAGCCTACAAGTCCCCAGACTATGAGGCCCTAGACTTTGAGCTGCTGCTGGAGTGCCTGGTGTGCACTGGGTACCCACTCGAGATCCTGTGCTATACTTACAACCCCACCTTCCCCACCAGGTTCGTGACTCAGGACAGGTGGGAGGTCACTTGGCCTTGGTACACCCATCCACAGCCCCCCGACCCCTGCCTCCGCAGGGAGCTGGTGTTTGATGCACTCTGTGGGAACCTGCTGAAGGTGGACACCCACGGGAATGTGCTGCTGGGTGCCATGGCTTCACCTTCCTCTCAGAGTAAGGGACAAAGGGTGCTGGGAGGGTGGCAGGTCAGCAGGGGAGGACAGAAGGGGGGACGGAGGAAGGATGTGGGCCCACGGTGGAGGCTCAGCACAGAGGGGATGGGTGGGGGTTAGAAGGGATGGCTAGAACCTGGATAGGCCTCTAGGAGGCAGTGGGGAGGGGGCATTGGCTGCACCCAGCCTACGCCCTCCTCAGGGCAGAGAGCTGGAGCTTCTACCCCAGCAAGTTCATTGCTTCCTGCAGCGCTTCCACATCCTCAACACACTCTTCAACCTGCCTGGTGGGTGGAGGGTTGGCGGCACTGGGAGGTGGTCCCAAGGGGCCCAGCTCTGACCTGCTGGGAAGCTGCCTGGGTCCCTGGGCTGACAACTGATCAGCGTGTCTGTCCCAGAAACCTACCTCTGTGCCTGCCTGGTGGACTTCTTCTCTGGCTGCTCCTGTTACACCAAGTGTGTCTTGTCCCCTGCCCAGCCCTGGGGTGACCAGTAGCACACTGCCACTGCTGAGGGACCAAACCCCAAAGTGGAGAGCCCCTGAAGGGTTCCCCAAGGGGCTTGAGGGGTTCCAGGAGGCTCAGTGGGAAGATCTCTACTGCAGGGTGGTGCCCAACCCTGTCACTGGTGCTGCCCCAAGGGGTGACTCTTAGCCCCAGATGATGCCCCTCCCAGGATGGCTGGGACATAAGCCCACTAAAGGCCCCAGTGTGGCTGGTAGGGTTGCTCTGGTATAGCACTTAGGGCAGGAGGTCACCTCAGGCTCCCTTATTGGCATCCCCTATCCCCTCTTGGCCTGCCCCAGCTGTGACACTGGATATCAGCATGGGAACTTCTTCATGTCCTTCTGAAGCCTCTTCCAGGATGTGGCTGATGCCATGAATTGCATCCACTAGTGGGTAAGTGAGTGTTCCAGGACCTCCTGACCCCTGACCTGTCTGCTCTGTGTTCTCCTGGGCAGCCTCTGGCCTCCAGTCCACATAGACTTTCCATCCTCTTCCCACTGAGGACTGTGGTCTGGTCTGGGCTTCCAGAGCCGCCCACCCTCCTCATCTTGACATAGACATGTAGGTGGGTACACACACACACACACACACAGTGACAGACACACACGCACACAGAGACATACAGACACAGAGACACACACAAACACATGCACACACACACAGACACACACAGACACGCACAGACACACATACACATGCACACAGACACACACATAGACACACACAGACACATACCCATGCACATAGACAGACACACAGACACACACAAACTCATGCACACACACCCAGACACACGCACACAGACACACAGACACACACACAAGCACACACACACATGGCCCTTTGCTCCCTCCTGCATGGCTATCTCAAGAAGACCCTGGAGGACTTGTAGAAGGACGTGGAGAAGGATGTCAATGGCCGCAGATGCGGGGCCCAGGGCTTTCCCCGAAACCCTTCCCTGGCTTTCTTGGAGGTTTAAGCTGAGCTCTGCTCCCGGGTGGCTCAGGGTCTTTCTGTGTGGCCTGGTGCCTCCCTGCCTGGGCTGGTGGCTCCCAGAAGGCTGAAACCTGAGAAGGGGATCCCAGGGCAGCGCCGGGAGTCCCACCCCTGCAAGTCCCTCTATCTCCGCCACAGGCACACCTCCCATTGCTGCTGGGGAAGATGAAGGAGGTTGGGGAAGTGTTTTTGGCCACCAGTGGCAGCTACAACTATGCCAACGTGAGTTCGTGTATCGAGGGGTGGGCCCTCGGCCTCCTTCTTGGCCTCTGGGGACACAGAGGCATTGCAAACAACAGTGAGGGGTGGGAGGAGCCACGATCCTTCTACCCCAACACTGAAAGGCTCCATTTCTTGGCCTTTCAAGGCCTCAGGGGAACGAACAACTTTCTCACCATCTTGCTCCTGTGGTCACCGGGGTGCCAGGGGTATGGTAGTAAGGGCAGAGGTAGGCGGTGGCCCAAGCTTGGTGCCCTGACCCTGCCCTGTCCTTGCCAGGCCATCGTGACCTACCTGTTCAGCACCAGTGAGGTGAGTGCTGGAGTGCTGCCTGCACAGCTGGGGTAGGCTGTGCAGGGGGCGGCGGGGGGGGGCGCCAGGCCACACCACGATGCCGAGGGCCTCTCCCATGTCCAGCCTCCCTTTGAGCAAGGCCCGAGTGTGTGAGTGGTCATTTCTCATGAGTGGAAGCTCCCCAGTGGGTAGGAGGCTGGTGACCTTAGCCAGGCCCTGGGAGGAGCCTTTGGGGACGACAGGAGGCAGTCAGGTTTGTGGGGAGGGGCGGTGGAAAGTGGGGAGATGAGGGCATGGCAGGCCAAGGGGAGGGGTGCTGAGGCCTGGGAGTAATCAAGTGTCATGGGGCAGGCAGCAGGCCCCTAACTTGGTAGCTGTGCTGGTGCCACCTGTTCCCAGGTCTCTCTGTGCTGTGAGGGGCTCTGGAGGCTGGCCTGAGAGTGCACATGATGGCTGACAGCCACCTCCATGAGTTCCTTTTGAGCCCTTTCTAGTGCCCAGCTTGGCTGGGGATGCTGGGCAGCGAGACCTGGTTCCCAGGGGCTGGAGAGGTCCCATCTGGCTGGGAGGTTGGTGGGGAGAGGGCAGGTTGTGACAGGTGACCGGCTGTAGCAAGGCCACATTTACCAGGCTGTGTGTGTGTGCAGCCTGTGTGCACCCCCAGCAGGCTGAAGCCTCGGCCAGCCCCTGGAAGTCCTACTTCAACCTGATCATGGTGAACACGAAGCATCCCTGCTTCTTTGTAGAAGGGAGGGTCAACATGGTAACGACAGGTGCAGAGGTCCATGGACCGTAATTGGGGAGGGCAGCCTGCCTGCCCCTTAGACTTGACCTGCCTTTGTGGCTGGCAGCTCTGCTGGCCTATTTGTTCCTGGAGGCAGGGAGCCAGAGGCCTCCTTCAGGGCCTTCTGCAGCCTCCTCCCACGCCCTCCTGGTTACCTCTGCTGCTACCAGCTTCCTCTGATGCTCCCTAGTTAGAGACCAAAGACGTGGTTCTCCTGGCTCCAGGGCACCCCTCTGCCCCTCCAGGACTTGGGGAAGCTAGGCATGGGCACCTATACAGGGCCCCACCAGCACTATTCTGTCTACTCTGGAGGTATCAGCTCCCACCATGCCCCCACTCCTTCCCAGGCCCTCACCTGCCCCAAGTCACTGCCCCAAGGCAGGAGGGGTGAAGGAGTCTGTCCTTGCTTGGTAAGGCAGGCTCGTCTGACATGGTGTGTGAGCTCCTCGGGGTTTGGGGAAAGGACATCCTGTACATTGGGGACCACATTTTTGGGGACATTCTCAAGTCCAAGAAGCAGCAGAGCTGGCGGACTTGCCTGGTGGTTTCTGAGCTGTCCTGGGAGCTGGACAAGGGCGAGCTGCTGGGGTTGGGAACAGTCAGAGGGCACTGGCTGCCCCTGCAGAGGCCCCAGCACTGCCTTCTCCTTTTCCCCGTGGGGGCCAGGAATCCTGGCCACTCTGTTGTTTCTGAGGGAGGAAGCAGACCCCCAGAGAGGGTAAAGCAGCTTGTCTAAAGTCACACAGCCAGTAGGGGCAAAGCTGAGAGTCAAATCTGCATCTCCTGACCCCAGAGTCCTGTGCTGTTTCTGCAGGCCACACCTTCTTCCTGCACCTGACCCCACTCTCCCCACCCGCCCTGAGGGCGTTCAGTGGGTGGAAGGTGCACAGGCTCCAACCAGGAATGACTTAAAGTCATCCTCCAGGGCAGGGAGTCGTGCGGGCCCACACAACTTGGGGTTTGTCCTGAGAGCTGAGGCTTTAGGTTTGAGTCATTGCTGTGTGACCTTGGGAAAGTCACCTGACTACCTCACCCATCCCTTGGGGCCTATGGGGCCTACGCTGTCCCTGCTTCAGTCTGGGCAGAGCCTCACCTGATGTAAGGGGCCAGGGGTGTTATGCACACAGCTGGGCCAGGGCAGACAGAGACCGGCAAGGCCAATGGGTGACACAGGCCGTCACTCACCCCCACTGATCCCTAGTGGCTTTTCAGAGTGGTAGGAGGAGCTGAAGAGGCTCCTCTTCATGTCTGGTGGACCTATATCAGTGAAACCCTGGCCTTTCTGGGGGACAGAGTGGGGGCGGGGAGAGGGATGGAGGGACAGTGGCTCACATCCCTGCCTGGCAGCAAGGTCCTGGCCAAAGTTGTCAGGACATCAAGATCTGTTTCAGGCTGGGCTTCCCTAGCAAAATGGATGTGGGGACCCCTCTCACCCCCTTGGGACTGCTCACACTCTGTGACCTCTAGGCCCCTCCTCTGAACCCGTCCAGCACTCAGGGACCTTCCCTTGCACGCGTGCACACACCCAGCCCGGCACCCACACTCGATGCTCGCATGGCGTCTTCCATATGACCCCTGTGGGGTCTAAGGAGACTGTCCTGGCACTCAGGCTCTGTGCCTCCCCTTGGTTACCAGGCTATTTTTGTACCAGGCACATAGACGGGAGCAGTTGTGAGCTTCAAGTCATCAACTTCACCAAGAGAGAGATCCAGATGACAGCTGGGTGTCGAGGGAGCAGGGAACCAGGCCCAGTGGGGGCGGAGCCTGCGTCCCCTGTGCCAAAGGCCCAGTTACCTGTTTCTCCCCCACATCGCCTGGGCTCCACCTGCCTTGTCAGCCAGCGCTCTCTGCTGGCCAACATTCCAAAGGGCAGCGGTGCCCTGTTGAAGGGATGAGCTGAGCCTGACTTGCAGGCCTTGCCTCCAGTCCTGCAGTCCTTGTCAATCACCCTGCCTAAGAAGTGCCTGCATGCTGGCTAGGCCCTTATTGACCGACTAGCCAGTTCTGAAAGGAAATGTGATTGAGGACCAGTGAGATCAGCGTCCTGGGAAAAGAGAAGAAAGGACAACGCTCCCTTGTGGCATTATTGACCGGCCACCAAAAAGCTGGAGGTGCCCATGGCCGACCAGGTGGAGGGAGTCAGGCCACTTGGTCATCCCAGTCCAGCCGGGGCCCATCACAAAGGGTCTTTGCAGAGTCTTTTACAAAGCACAGCTGTCTGATCTTCCCCACAGGCTTATGAGGTGGATGGAGCACGGATTTCACCTTTATATTACTGATGAGGAAACAGCCTCAGAGAGGGGTCACCTTGGGAGTAAATGTTGGGATTGTTCTCTAGGCTCTAAAAGCAGGGCCTGGTAGCGGGTGGGAACCGATAGGAAGGTGGAAGTGGGGCTGGGGTGCGGCCTTTACCAAGTCCTCTGTTAGACTCATAAGGTAAATGAGGCTGTGGTTTAGTCCTGGGTGGTCCATCTCCAGGGCCAGGCAGGTAACTGTGAGGGAAAGCTGGAGCCGGGCCCATGGCAAAGTAGGGAGCTGCCCCACCTCCAAAAGCCAAATGTGCAGCCTGTAGGTCTACAATATGCTCCTCCTTCCCTACAGAGGGGCACAGGCCTCAGTGTCCCCCAGTGAGAGGCCCAGGGAGGCCAGGGTTGCCCAGAAAGGGAGAAGGCGAGGGCAGGCCCATGTGGCTGGGATTTCAATTCAGCGTGTTGCTCCGCTGGCCAGAAGGACACCTGGGAGCAGGACCTATGTTACAGCGCCCACTGCAGTTTACACCAGACACTCTTCTCCAGCCAGCTGATGCTCTACGCCAACCTCTATGCTGCCACCTGCCTCACCTTCCTGTACTGCCCGCTCAGCTCACTGTTTCGGGCTACACTGGAGTTGTTGGGTCCCTGCAGAATCGCCACAGCTGTCCCTGAACATCCATCCTAGAAGGACCCACTGGTCCCCAGCCTTGCTAGGAGCTCACAAGGTCACTAGACCCAATCTCCCACCTTCAGACTCAATCGGGTCACAGCCTTGCAGATAACTGTACAGGTCTTAACAAATGCATGGGAAGAGTTAGGTTTATATAGATGAGATGCCTCTGCAGGGGTGATCTTCCTCACACCCAACCTTAACTCCTGCGTTAGATTGAGACCACATTATCTCATCATTTCCTTGGTAGAAAGGATACCAGTTGCAAGGAGGAAGGCACAGTCCTTCTATCCTCAGTAAACATACAGTGGCTTCCGAGGAGGTGGCAGATGATACAGTAATCTGCTCTGGCTGGTTTTCCTCTGGGAGTCCGGAGGATGCTTTTGGGGTAAGAGCAGGGAGGTAGAGGCAGCCATGAGGTTACTGAGCAAGGGTTAGGAGTCATGGGACTGGCCAGCGCAGGGCTTCCCTAGAACATGCACGTGTCAGCCCTCCCAAGATGGCATCATCATTTCCATTTTATAAGATGTAGAGCCTGCAGTTTAGGATCTGGACTTGAAGCTAGGTCTTTGAGGCTCCCTGCCGCCTGCTTTCCCTGCTGCCCTTGGCTGCCTTCCAGATGTTTGAGAGGGGAAAACCATTTATTGAATGTCTGCAGTGTTTCCTGCACTGGGTTGGGTGCTTTTCATCGATTATGCTTAATGCTCAATATAACTCAGCGAGGTAGGTTTTATCCTCCTTATTTTACCATTGGCGAGAAAGCACAGACAATCTAAGTGACTTGCTGTCATACAGCTAGTGTACCACAGAGCTGGGATTTGAGCATGTCAGGCTCTAGGGGGTCACACTCTGTCCCCTGCACTGTGCTGCCGCACGCTTGTGGGAACTGGCTCTCACTGGGCAGCCTCATCTCATCTCTGGTCTCTTAGATGGGCTGGACCAGAGAGCTCCTGGCGAAGCTGGGGGATCAGGCATAGCCATCTGTGCTGGTAGATATTATTGTTAAAGTAGAGACCAGACAGATGAAGAACACACCATCCCCTCTGCCCAAAAGTGACAAGGTGAAACATTTAAAGAAATCTGACCTTGCCAACCTTGCTGGCCTGGGATTTTTTGGTTTTGTTTTTTAGACCAAGTCTTGCTCTGTTGCCCAGGCTGGAGTGCAGTGGCTTAATCTCACCTCCACCTCCTGGGTTTTTGTGCTTTAGCCTCCCAAGTAGCTGGGATTACAGCTGTGCTTGGGAGGCTGAGACACAGCCATGCCTGGCTAACTTTTGTGTTCTTGTAGAGACAGGGTTTCATCATATTGCCTGGGTTGGTCTTGAACTCATGGGCTCAAGCAATCCACCTGCCTCGGCCTCCCAAAGTACTGGAATTACACGTGTGAGCCATCGTGCCTGGCCTTGGCCTGGGATTTCTGAGGAAGTGAAGTCCAGCTGCCAGAACCTTCCTGTCCCTGCTGACCCTCTGAGGCACCTTCCTCTGATTGTTGGACAGGAAGCTGGCAGCTGTGGGCAGGGAAGGCTGTGCTTAGCTGAGGAATCCTGGAAGGCCAGACCCAGAACAGAGTACTCTGCCTCCATCTGCATTTATCCCTACAGATGCCGCATGAGTCAGTTGTGTAGCAAGAATGGGCCAATCTGGACCCTGCCTCCTGCCTCCTCTCTTGCAGCCAGAGGGTGAGGAGGGTGAGTGGCTTTGACCAAGGGTTTCTGTGGCTTGGGCTCCCATGGGCTAGAGCAGTGGTTCCCAATGGGGTGGTATCAACCCCAGGGTGCATGAGGCAATTGGTGGGGGGGGGCTTTATTTTTGGCGGCAAGCATAGTAATTCCTGAATATTCATGTAAAAATACATAGTATTTTATTATAAATTGCTTTTCTTTTTATTTCTCCTTTGTTATGGTTAGGGTAATATCTAGTTATTTTAAATGATAGAGATGATAATTGTATTGATGAATTTAAATTCAGGATGGAAAAGTAGAAGTTAAATATTTGTTTTTAAAATAGGGCATGGGGGCCAGGTGTGGTGGCTCACATCTGTAATCCCAGCACTTTGGGAGGTTGAGGTGGGTGGATCATCTGAGGTCAGGAGTTTGAGACCAGCCTGGCCAATATGGCGAAACCCTGTCTCTACTAAAAATACAAAAATTAACTGGGCGTGGCGATGGGTGTCTGTAGTCTCAGCTACTTAGGAGGCTGAGGCAGGAGAATCACTTGAACCCAGGAGGCGGAGGTTGCAGTAAGCTGAGATTGCACCACTGCACTCCAGCTCGGCAACAGGGCGAGACTCCGACTCAAAAAAAAAAAAAAAAAAAGTGGCATTGGATCCAAAAGGGTGACAGGTTCTGCTCAGCAGTGGTTCATTGACTCTTGGGCCCTCCACCTCTAAAGACTGCTTTTGGCCAATCCATATAACTTACTCCCTCCAGGAGAGGTTGCAGGACATGCTGTCTTCCACACTGAGGCTTCCTCCCTAGACAGGCTTTGTTAACATCAATACCTAGCGGCTCTAGGTTCAGATCTTTTTGATACTTCGTGTGGCCTGATTCGCCTCTAAGCTGAGACGTGATTGGATGCCTGGGTTCCTCATTGGGTTCTGCACCCCCACGCCTTACATAAGGGTTTCTGTTCCTACCTTGACTTTCTGGGGGCTCAGTTTAAAAGATGTGCATTCCTGAAACACCATAAAAACCCTAGAAGAAAACCTAGGCAACTCCATTCAGGACAGAGGCACAGGCAGGGACTTCATGACTGAAACACCGAAAGCAATGGCAACAAAAGCCAAAATAGACAAAGGGGACCTAATTAAACTCCAGAACTTCTGCACAGCAAAAGAAACAATCATTAGCGTCAACCAGCAACCAACAGAATGGGAAACAATTTTTGCAATCTACCCATCTGACAAAGGGTTAATATCCAGAATCTACAAAGAACTAAAACAGATTACAAAACAAACAAACCCATTCAAAAGTGGGTGAAGGATATGAACAGACACTTTTCAAAAGAAGACATACATGAGGCCAACAAACATATGAAAAAATGCTCATCATCATGGAATTAGAGAAATGCAAATCAAAACCACATTGAGATACCATCTCACGCCAGTTAGAATGGTGATCATTAAAAAATCTGGAGACGACAGATGCTGGAGAGGATGTGGAGAAAAAGGAACACTTTTACACTGTTGGTGGGAGTGTAAATTAGTTCAACCATTATAGAAGACAGTGTGGAAATTCCTCAAGGATCTAGAAATAGAAACTCCATTTGACCCAGCAATCCCATTACTGGGTATATACCCAAAGGATTATAAATTGTTCTTTTATAAAGACACATGCACACATATGTTCATTGTGGCGCTGTTTACCATAGCGAAGACCTGGAACCAACCTAAATGCCCATCAATGATAGACTGGACAAAGAAAATGTGGCACATATACACCATGGAATACTATGCAGCCATAAAAAATGATGAGTTCGTGTCCTTTGTAGAGACATGGATGAATCTAGAAACCATCATTCTCAGCAAACTGACACAAGAACAGAAAACCAAATGTTTTCACTCATAGGTGGGTGAGGAGCAATGAGAACACTTGGGCTCAGGGAAGAGAACAACACTCACTGGGCTAGGTTGGCGGTGAGACGGGGCAGGGAGGATGGGGAGGGATAACACCGGGAGAAATGTCTGATGTAGGCGATGTGGGTTGGGGGGATGGAGACAGCAAACCACCACGGCATGTACGTACCTAAGCAACAATCCTGCAAGATGCAGGATGTGCACATGTACCCCAGAGCCCAAAGTATAATTAAAAAAAGAAAGAAAAAAAAGATGCGCATTCCATAGGTCCCCTTTAGCTGGGTGGTACCAGGCACAGTGTTCTTTCAACCAGTGTTTATTGAGTGCCTCCTGTGTCCCAGACAGTGTAGAAAATAAAGTGTAAGTTACTTCATTCTTACCTAGAAGAAGCTAAAAATTCAAGTGCATTCACAGTCATTAATCAGTGGTTTGCATCTCTTTTTCTATCCTAGCCCAGCAGAGGGCTGGACACACTCCTGTCAGTAACAGTGGCTTGCTGGGGAAGCCTGTGGTTTGATCCCTCTACCTCCTCACCCCATCAGAATCCAGCCTAGGGCATTTTGACACATTACCTACTTGTGGTTGGGAGTCACTGTGTAAGCTTGGGAAGAAAATATCCATAGTCACTTTCTTTGTTTCTTATAAGGCTGAGGGCAAAGAGAGAAGCAAGGACCAGGAGAGCTACTGACGGAGTCCCGGACATGGTCTGGCATCACGGGTCATCTTCTACTTGAGTTATTTTTTGGATAACAGAAGTACAGAAGGAAAAAGCAACTGTATTAAAATGTAAATGTAGCCAATTTGGAGCCCACAAACACTCTTTTAGGGAGGAGGGACTATTGCTCTTAACCTAGAAGGCATCCCCCATTGTCTTTGAGATATTTGGAAATGTGTGTACAAGTGAAATTATTTTACCTGCTTCTCTCGAACACATCAGGTATCATATCCAATTTTATTTCTAAACTTATCCTTTAAAAATATTATTTCTGTGCACTTCTGTTACTAGTAAGAATAAAACCTGATTGGCTATAGATTGCCCCACTAACTGCTCTTTTATTCAGTGTGAAAGACGTTAAATGAGATAGCCCAAATGTCTTTGAACTTGTATACATGCATTAAAACACACAAAAAGTCACACTCATGATTTAAAAACTTGACTCTAGAGTGTGTTAGAAGCTTCTCTGTGGTATTAAAGCGCGGAACCATCATTGTTCTGATGCCACTGAATTTAATTGACTCCTACAGTTCACTTTTTGCCTGTTAGTGGCATCATCTGGCATTCTGTGGAGACACAGGTTGAATCTGCATGTTTGAAACGATGAAGCGAACCCTTGAAGAAACAGGTCTGAGGACACACTTCATTAGCTTCATTTTCTGTGGGTAAACAATGGCAACACTTGGGATACCTGAGGATAAATAAGGGACAATGGGCCATGGAATCAGAGAGTTCATTTTTTGTTTGTTTGAGATGGAGTTTCACTCTGTCACCCAGACTGGAGTGCAGTGGCACGATCTTGGCTCCACCTTCTGTGTTCAAGCGATTCTCCTGCCCCAACCTCTGAGTAGCTGGAATTACAGGCACACTCCACCACACCTGGCTGATTTTTGTATTTTTGGTAGAGACAGGGTTTCACCATGTTGACCAGGCTGGTCTCAAACTCCTGACCTCAAGTGATCCACCTGCCTCAGTCTCTCAACGTGTTGGGATTACAGGAGTGAGCCACTGAGCCTGGGCTTTTTTTTAAACATCTCCTTTGCATTTCAGAAGCGTCCAGGTTTGACACTGCTAAGACCTTTTCTTCAGCTGAGTTCCTGGCATAGTGAGCACTAACAAATATAAACCATCAAGCCTCGGCTCTGTCTTCTGGTTCATGGTCATACTGTACAGAGATGCTATATATAATCCTTTTCTTTCTTTGAAACTTGCTTTATACTCACCTCCTCTAAAAAGCCATCCCTGAACAACACTGGACTTACATCTGCAGAGGCCCATATTTCCACTAAAATTCCCTATGAACTTTCTTCCCAAGTGATTAAGGGCCCACTTCTTTCCTTTCTACTCTCCCTCCTTCTTGCTCTGTATGTCTAGGAGCAGCTATTTACTAAACAAGAGGGTTACTGAATATCTATAAAGAGCCCCAGAATCAGGGTGCAGTTATTTTGCAGCTGCTGTACCATCCACAATCATTTCCATCCATATCTTTTTGTGTCTGGAAGACTCTACAGTCTGAGGAGGCTGTTCAAAACCTCCAATTTGCCATTTTGAAACATACGTTATTAGACACCAATAGTTCAACCCACACAGTTATTGTTAGTACCTAGGATAATACTGTGAGGCATCCTGCAAGGAACTAACAATAAATAAAATGAAACTGCTCATTTGAGAACTAAGCTGTAATGTCAAGACAATGGTTTTGAGGAGAGAGACGTAAAACCACCATAAAGAGACAGCTGACTCCTGGGCCTGGGGTCAGGGGAGAGATTTAGGTGGCAAACATGGACCATTTGAGAAGCCAGAGAATAAATAAGTGCACAAGCAATGGATGGCAGTGCAAGACCAATCATGAGGACCTGGTCAACGAACTTAGGACAGTGTCTGAGATCTGAGGCAAGAATATTCCTAATACGAAAGGACTTGCTTTAGACTCTCTAAGCCTGGTGATTTTGAATATTTGATTCCTCTAAGTCCCATGTTCAGAGTTTGTAATCTCTAAGCAGCCCTCTGAGCATTATTTGGCTTCACAAGTAAAGTTAAGCCTAATTCCTGCATTTTGGTGACAATTTTATTGGGTATATTTAAGATTTACAACATGATGCTATGGGATACATATTGATAATAAAATGGTTGCTACAGTAAAACAGATTAACATCACCTCAGTTTTTTGTGTGATAAGAGCAGCTAAAATCTACTTATTTAACAAAAACCCCTAATACAATTGTATTAACTTTAGCCCAATCTCTAGATTTGTTCATCTTATCTGCTATTTTGTATCCTTGGCCTATATCTCCCCATTTCCTCTTCCCCAATCTGTGGTAATGTTCTCGAGTTCTTTCTTAAAAAATTAAATATTCCACACGTGATGATGCAGCATATTTCCTTGTGTCTGGCTTATTTCACTTAGCATAATGTTCTCCAGGTTCATCTATGTTGTAGCAGATGGCAAGATCCTCTTTTCCAAGGATCAATACTATTCCATGGCATGCATATGCCATATTTTCTTTTATTTGCCCATTGATGGGCATTTTTATTCTCCAGATCTTGGCTATTGAGAATAACACTGCCACAAACAAGGGAGTGCAGATATCTTTATGAGGTGGTGATTTCATCTTTTTTTTGAGACAGAGTTTCACTCTGTAACCCAGGCTGGAGCTCAGTGACACTATTTCAGCTCACTGCAACTTTTGCCTCCTGGGTTCAAGTGGTTCTCCTGCCTCAGCCTCCCAAGTACCTGGGATTACATATGCCTGTCATCACACCCAGGTAATTTTTGTATTTTTAGTAGAGATGGGTTTTCACCATGTTGGTCAAGCTGGTCTTGAACTCCTGACCTCAGGTGATTCACCCACCTTAGCCTCCCAATGTGCTGGGATTACAGGTGTGAGTCACTGTGCCACGTCAATGATTTCATCTTTTTGGATACATACCTACTCAGAAGAGGATCAGATAACAGTTCTACTTTTAATTTCTTTCGGAGTCTCCATAGTTTTCCATAATGGCTACACCAATCTACATTCCCACCAACAGTGTACTAGGCTTCTCTTTTTTTCCACAATCTCATCAACATTTATCTCATGTCTTCTTGTTAATAGCCATTCTTACAGATGTTAGGTGATAGCTCAAAGTGGTTTTAATTTACATTATTCTTCTGATTAGTGATGCCAAACACATTTTCATATATATACCTATTGGCCATTTTTTAATGTCTTCTTTGGAGAAATGTCTGTTCAGGTCCTTTGCCCATTTTTAATTATTTGTTTTTCCACGATTGAGTTATAAGAATCTATCTCTTACTGAAAGTCTTCTAGCGTTACAGGTTTGTAGCTCATAGTTTTTTGAGCACTGTTATTATAAATCTGACTTTCAGAAATAGATCTGCTTCCCTTACAATGAAAAAATCTAGTTCTGGGTGAGGCTGACAGACCCTTGATCAAAGTACATTCTCCCTGGTAATGAATGGTCCTTGTGAGGTCTCCTGGGACAGCCAACTGGTGTAACCTTAGACAAACTCCTAATTGTCTATGGAAAGCCATTATCATGGTTTTCTATAATAAAGATAAACAAGCGGGAACTAATAAAAATTTAATTTTTTTTAAAGATAAAACTTAAATATTAAGAAAGCTAAGATTTAAAATTTGTTGACTAGATTTTTCTACACATTATATTTACATAATAACTGATTTTACTTTTCCACAAGTAGTTGCCCAGGAGGAAGAAAAAGCAACCTAACAGTCTCTGGGGCTTGCACTGCCTTCTCAGGCCAGCTATCCCCTAGCAGAGCAAAGAAATGAAGAAGCAAGTGTCCACTCCCCACCCCTCTCCCCTGCCCCCTTTCGTTATTTGAAGTGTTGCTGAGTAACAAATGCAAAAAACTAGGTTTGGATATAAAAGCTAGATGACCATGCCAATTCAGGATTGTGTTTCATCTGAGACCTGGCATAGGAAAAACAGGAATTCTCTCTCATTTACAAGAATACTGTGATGGAAGTCAAAGATCACACATAAATTTGCAGTCTCTGAGCAAAGGCACAACTGGTATAAACTCATCTGTGAAATGAGGGGTTCTGACTTGGCCGTCTGTCAAGGTCCATTCAGCCTGTTAAGCCAGCATCAAAGTTCAGATTTCCCACGGTGAAAGGACTTGCCCTATCTGCTAAGGTGGATGCAGAAAGAAAAGTCCCATTATATTGTGGGCCCAACCTTCTAATATAAAAAATTATGTTGGGATTAAAGCAGATCATTAAAGTATACATTTTTATCACAGTTGTTGGGTAAATTAACATTCAAAAGTTTGAAATTTATGTATACTGTAAAACAGGCAAACTAGTCTTACACACATCAAGCAAAGATCTTCCCATAGGGAGATAAAATTTGAGAGTAAGCCCAGTGAATTACTTAAATCCTGAGCATCCGTAATCTGCATCCATGATGCCTCTCTATTATACACTTTTTTCCAGGTCATTTGGACAAGAATATTTCTTGTCTTATGGAGGCTCTAAAACATGTTTTTTAAAAAAAGCATCAATAAATTACGATTCAGGGATTTGAAACCCCAATGTTACAGGCAAAGCCTCATTTCTACGAAATATAAAACATGTTGTTTCTTCCACTTCTAACAGTTCATCAAGAGAAGCCACTACTAAATCATGTTCCTGCAGCATTTCTGGGTAGCGGGACACTGCTCGCTCGATCCTCGATGAACGCCGTACAGGAGTGATAAGCTTCATGTCTTGCACTTCCGGCATCCCATTTATTCTGAGAGATAGCGAGAGATGCATTAAAAACATTATCATTTTAAAAAGTTCTCTTTATTATTTTTTGTTTCATATTCCAAAATAAAACATGAAAGACATTTTAATATAAGTTGACACAAGAGATATGTGTAGAGCAGTTCTCATCTTAAGATGGCTTTTTCTAGGAGTTCAGGACCAGCTTGGGCAACATAGTAAGACACTATGTCTACCAAAAAATATAAAAATTAGCTGGGCAACAGATCCAAGATGTCCGATTAGGAGCAGCTCAGGATTACAGTGCCCAGTGAAAGTGCCCAGTGAAAATGCGGAGGGTGAGTGGACGCCGCATTTCCAGACAAATTTTTATTGCCCACAGACCAGGAGAATCCCAGGCGGAGGAGCCCCATGGGTCGCCAGCACGACTGTTTTGGCCAGCGCGGCTGTTTTGGCCTGCATGGCTGCGCAGCTGTTTCTGCTGGGGCAGCTGTTTTGGCCGGCGCCCCAGCACAGCAGTTCTCCATACAAAATATATGGGTCCAGGCACCATTTTAGCTGGCGATTGGAGCTCGGGGAAGACAGAGTCGCCCATTCAACTGATAGAAATGGGGACTGAAACAGGGTGCCAGGTCAGGAGATTCCCAGGCAGAAAAGCACCATGAATTTCAGCGCGGCTGTTTCAGCCTGCACAGGCGCAGTGGGTCACCACACGGGAAATCACACAGATCCCAGCACCTTTTCAACAGGTGACTGGAATACCTGGTAGACAAAAAATAAAAGGCTCTGAGGCAGGGAGCCAGGTGATCAAGCTCGGCTGGTCCCACCCCCACAAAAAAACAGCAATCTGAAATGCTCTGGATTGAGAGTTTCACAGCAAGCACAGCTGAACCTGGGATGGTCTAGTTCTGTGGGGGAGGGGCGTCCGCCATTACTGAGGCACTCCACCACTACAGAGGTAGTCTACCACTGCTGAGGCAGCCCGCCATTACAGAGGTGGGCCGCCATTGCAGAGGCAGTTCTAACTGTACCCGTATAAACAGGACTGCAGGGAAGTTCACATGGCAGCTGGACGGAGCCCACAGCAGCTCAGCAAAGCCTCTGCAGCCAGTGACTAGGCTGCCTCCTCACTGGGAGGAGGGCAGCCCTGAGAAAAGCAAGCAGCACAAAAGAAACTCATAAATAAAGCCCTAACTCCCCGGGAAAGAGCACCTGGGGAAAAAAAAGGGGGTTTATGAATTCAGCTGCAGCAGACTTAAACGTAACTGCCCAGCAACTCTGAATGAACAATGGAGCTTATAGCTCAGCACTTGAGCTCCTATAAAGGCTGGACTGTCTCCTCAAGCAGCTCCCTGACCCCCCTATATCCAAAGAGTCACCTTATAAAGGAGAGCTCAGACTGACATCAGGTGGGTATATCTTTCAGGGAAAAGATAGCAGAAGAAACTGGCAGCAACCCTTACTGTTCTGCAGCTGCTGCAGGTGATCCCCAGGCAAGCAGGGCCTGGAGTGGACCTCAGCAGTCCTACAGCAGAGGGTCCTGACTGGTAAAAGGAAAACTAAGAAACAGAAAGAAATAACTTCATCATTGACAAACTGGATGTCCACTCAGAGACCCAATCTGAAAGTCAACAACTACAAAGATGACAGGTGGATAAATACACAACGATGGGAAGAAACCAGCACAAAAAGGATGAAAACACCCGAAATCAGAACACCTCTCCTCCTACAAGGGATCACAACTCCTCACCAGCAAGGGAACAAGGCTGGATGGAGAATGAGTATGATGAATTGACAGAATCAGGCTTCAGAAGGTGGGTAATAAGAAACTTCTGTGAGCTAAAAGAACATGTTCTAACCCAATGCAAAGAAACTAAGAACTTTGAAAAAAGATTTGACGAAATGCTAATGAGAATAAACAACTTAGAGAGAAATGTAAGTGAATTGATGGAGCTGAAACATACAATACGAGAACTTCATGAAGCATACACAAGTTTCAACAGCTGAATTGGCAAAGCAGAAGAAAGGATATCAGAGGCCGAAGATCAACTCAATGAAATAAAATGAGAAGGCAAAATAAGAGAAAAAAGGGTAAAAAGGAATGAACAAAGTCTCCAAGAAATATGGGAATATGTGAAAAGACCTAATCTATGTTTGATAGGTATATCTGAATGTGATGGAGAAAATCAATCCAACCTGGAAAACACTCTTCAGGATATTACCCAGGAAAACTTCCCCAACCTAGCAAGGCAGGCCAATATTCAAGTTCAGGAAATACAGAGAACACGACAAAGATTCTTCAAAAGAGCAACCCCAAGGCACATAATCGTCAGATTTACCAGGGTTGAAATGAAGGAGAAATTGTAAGGGCAGCCAGAGAGAAAGGTCGGGTTACCCACAAAGGGAAGCCCATCCAACTCACAACAGATCTCTCAGCAGAAACCCTACAAGCCAGAAGAGAGTGGGGGCCAATATTCAACATCCTTAAAGAAAATAACTTTCAACCCAGAATTTCATATCCAGCCAAACTAAGCTTCATAAGTGAAGGAAAAATAAATCCTTTACGAAAAAGCAAGTACTCAGAGATTTCATCACCACCAGGCCTGCTTTACAAGAGCTCCTGAAAGAGGCACTACACATAGAAAGGAACAACCAGTACCAGCCATTCCAAAAACATACCAAATGGTAAAGAGCATCAACACAATGAAGAAACGGCATCAACTAATGGGCAAAACAGCCCTCTAGCATCAAAATGGCAGGATCAAATTCACATATAACAATATTAACCCTAAATGTAAATGGGCTAAATGCCCCAATCAAAAGACACAGATTGGCAAATTGGATAAAAAGCCAAAACCCATTAGTGTGCTGTATCCAGGAAACCCATCTCACATGCAAGGATACACAAAGGCTCAAAATAAAGGGATGGAGGAAGATTTACCAAGCAAATGGAAAGCAAAAAAAAAGCAAGAGTTATAATTCTCATCGCAGATAAAATAGACTTTAAACCAACAAAGATCAAAAGAGACAAAGAAGGACATTATGAAATGGTAAAAGGATCAATGCAACAAGAAGAGTTAACGATCCTAAGTATATATGCACCCAATACAGGAACACCCAGCTACATAAAGCAAGTTCTTAATGACTTACAAAGAGACTCAGACTCCCACACAATAATAGTGGGAGACTTTAACACACCATTGTCAATATTAGACCAACAAGACAGAAAATTAACAAGGATATCCAGGACTTGAACTCAGACCTAGACCAAGCAAACCTGATAGACATTTACAGAAGTCTCCACCCCAAGTCCACAGAATATATTCTTCTCAGCACCGCATCACATCTACTCTAAAACTGACCACATAATTGGAAGTAAATCACTCCTCAGCAAATGCAAAAGAACAGAAATTATAACAAATAGTCTCTCGGACCACAGTGCAGTCAAGTTAGAACTCAGAATTCAGAAACTAACTCAGAACCACACAGCTTCATGGAAACTGAACAACTGGCTTGTGAATGTTGTTGACTGGTTAAACAATGAAATGAAACCAGAAATAAAGATGTTCTTCGAAACCAACGAGAACAAAGACACAACATACCAGAATCTCTGGGACACATTTAAAGCAGTGTCTAGAGGAAAATATATAGCAATAAATGCCCACATGAGAATCAATGAAAGATCTAAAATCGACACCCTATCATCAAAATTGAAAGAGCTAGAGGAGCAAGATCAAAAACACTCAAAACCTAGCAGGAGACAAGAAATAATTAAGATCAGAGCAGAACTGAAGAAGACAGAGACACGAAAAACCCTTCAAAAAAATCAATAAATCCAGGAGCTGGTTTTTCTAAAAGATCAACAAAATAGACAGACCCACTAGCCAGATTAATAATAGAGAGAATAATCAAATAGATGCAATAAAAAATGATAAAGGGGATATTACCACAGATTCCACAGAAATACAAACCATCATCAAAGATTATTACAAACATCTCTATGCACATAAACTAGTAAACCTGGTAGAAATGGAAAAATTCCTGGACACTTGCATCCTCCCAAGCCTAAATCAGGAAGAAGCCAAAGCCCTGAACAGACCAATGATAAGTTCTGAAGTTGAGGCAGTAATTAAGAGCCTACCACCCAAAATAAGCCCAGGTCCAGATGGGTTCACAGCTGAATTCTACCAGACATACAAAGAGGAGCTGGTACCATTCCTTCTGAAACTATTCCAAACAATCCAAAAAGATGGAATCCTTCCCAAATCATTTTATGAGACCAACATCATCCTGATACCAAAACCTGGCAGAGACTCAACAAGAAAAGAAAACTTCAGGCCAATATCCATGATGAACACAGATGCAAAAATCTTCAATGAAATACTGGCAAACTGATTGCAACAGCACATCAAAAAGCTTATCCACTGTGATCAAGTAGGCTTCATCCCGGGGATGCAAGGCTGGTTCAACATATGCAAGTCCATAAACATATTCACCACATAAAAAGAACCAAAGACGAGGATTGGAGCTTGCGTTGTGTCCGCGGAAAGGTGAGTCTGAGCTGCATTTCCAGACTGATCTTTGTTGCCCACGGAACGGGGAAATTCCCAAGTGAAGAGGAGACGCGGCACGCCAGGCAGAACCTCCGCCTGGCGAAGCCGGCAGCCAGGGTGGCGGCGGCCGGCCCTACCCAGCGCTCCCCACAGGGCCAGCTTGTCCGGGTGCCCCGTTGAACCGGCAACAGGAGAGGTGAGAGGGCTGGACTAGAGACTGAGCTAGACTTGGACAGTGGGCCAGCCAGGGGATCGCAGGGACAGAGCATTAGGGTTGGCCCAGTGGGACGAACAAAACCGCGATTTCAAACAAGCCCCGGGCAGACGGCCGGAGACGCTCTGAGGGGGAGGGGCGTCCACCATTACCAAGGCAACCCGCCCCAACTGAGATACACGCCCATTGCTGACGCAGCCAGCCGGTGCCGAGGCAACCTGTCCCTACTGAGATACAGGCCCACTGCTGACGCAGCCTGCC